AGACAAGAATATGTATTGGGATTTACAATGGCTGATCCACAGTACTATCCATTCTAGGAGCCTCACATCTTACTACGTAATTAGCACTTTCCACCCAATGAATTGACTATCACTTGTAATAAAAGAATGAGTGAAGGAGCGAAGTCCTTTTTATCTCTATAATGGAAATCTGAGAGAAGAGCTGCTGCTTATAGTGGCACCTAATGCCTAGGAGAGGGCCTGGATAAATATTAGTAGTTTCAGCAGCTGTTAATGGACAGCTTTGAACAAATCCTGGCTATTTCTCTGGCAAAAGAAATTTGCCCTTCAGCTTTGGCTGTTTCTATATCCCAAGTTATAGAATTCATTTTATTTTTAAAATCTATCAGTTTCCCTATAACTAAGGGAAACATTCAACAAAACAAAGTCTGATTCCATTTCAATTCCAAGTACATACGTAAACATGAGGATTTTAAAAATCAAATTAATCGGATAGCTTTTTAAAATTGGGCAATAACTCCTGTAAAGTTATAAATAATGGTGGTCAACACCATGACTGTTCACCCCCTCATCAGCATGAGGGCAGGTCTGACACATGCTAGACAAACTAAAAAAAAAAACCCAACCTTTTTAAAAAAAATATAAGAATTATCCTTATCTCTTCCCTAGCAAAAAGTACAATGTATTTAAGACTGCAGTACTACTAAGGGGATTTGTAATATTCCCAGCAAAATGGTAGTCCTTTTTACCAAGAACAACACTTGCCTCTCCTATTGAATACTGCCCTCCCTTCTTAATGAGACCTCATAATATTTCTGCTTTCTTACATCATTTTCATTTTTGTACACAGTATTTTTGTTCCGTTTTCAACTTTGTGGGCTAAGTGAAAGCTGATAGTATTTGCTTACCCAATTTCCACAGTTGTGCCTGTTTACCCAAGTTCTAATTAAATCAATAGCTTTTAAACTCTCTTCCTTTGCAGCAAAGCAAGTGGCAGGTCCAATGTTATTTACAGATCCCCCCATCCCCCCCCCCACAATGATTCAGTTTTCAGAGATGTCCAACACTTTGGGGCTAACTTCTCTTCTGTAATTTTTTTTCAGCTGCAAGTGGCAGAACCTACAAACCAGTATTTTTATGTTCATCTCATCCAATTAATTTATACTTTGTAGAACTTTATTGTCGTCCATCCTTCTGATGGTTAATTGAAGTTCTGCTCATGTACATTTTTCCTTGTTCACGATATCACAAAAAGTCAGATATAGTATTGTATCTTATACCACTAATGCTCAACCATGTATTTCTTAGCCTATCCATCACCCAGTGAAACAACTGGGACCTATTATGATGGAAACAAAACACCCTTTCCCCCCAGAAGGATCCTTATAAGGATCCTTTTCATTATTCTTAATGAAAAGTTTTTTAAAAAAAAATTAATTAATTAAAATGTCAGAGACTTATCTAGTCTCCATCTTAAAATATTTGTGAGTCCCCTCCTTAATATGTTGATCCTTGAGAATTGTACAATGTTGTCCTCTTAGCTAAGCATTGATTCAAAATGAAGTTGCTCCAGCAGACTACAGGTAAGTCCTCGATTTACGACCACAATTGAGCCCAAAATTTATGTTGTTAAGTGGCGGGTCCAATGTTAATTACAGATTCCCCCCGCTTCCCAAAGGATTCGTTTATTCTGACATTTGTTAAGTGAGCTGTGCCCCATTTTATTGCTTTTCTTGCTTTTCAAAGTTGTGCTCTGCATGCCAACTTTGTAAGTATTCTGACTATACCCTAGCTTTGATGGCACACTAAACATGAATCCTGTTCAGAGAATGGAAAGAATATTATCCTTCCTTCCAGTCACTGATTTGCCTTTTTATGCCAACAACACATCACACAAGACAGGAGGCCGAGTCAGTCATATGGTCACCCATTTTTAATTTCTTCTAGCTGCCACAAAGGAGACTAGGATGTGTTTGTCATTTGCACAAATCCAACTTCCTGTCTCCCCTCAAGATAAAATAAAAATTGGGCCTTTGTTGTTTCAGTCTTAGGAGAGGGAAAAATGGAGAAACACTGGTAAGTAGTTTGCATGATCCTGGTCTGTTTGGGGCTAAAGTTAATTACTTCTCTGAATTAAGGTCATTTTTTTAGGATGGAATGTTTGCAGAGCATGTTTACCCCTACCCTGATCCTGTTAGCAGAATAGATCTATGCACAACCGCATAACATTCATCCAGCCAGCTACCCTGTTTCCCTGAAAATAAGACCTCCCTGGATAATAAACCCAATCGGGCTTTTGAGTGCATGCGCTAAAATAAGCCTTCCCCTGAAAATATTGCAACACAGCAGCAGCCATGAGGTGACCATGCTCACCACCTCCCGCACCTCAAAAATAATAAGACCTCCCCAAAAATAAGGCCAAGCACTTATTCTGGGGGTCAAAAGAAAATAAGACCCGGTCTTATTTTCAGGGAAACACAGTAGTTGTATAGGAGAAACTAATCCATGTATTACAGCGCATGAGCACAAATGGTGGAGGCAAAGCACAACCATCTCTGATGGTTTTCCTGTTGTTCATCTGGGCAGCTATCATTTTTTTGCTTTTTAAAAAATACCTCTATATTTAGGAATCTAAAATTATTTGCTAAGTTGAGGTGACCGAAGCAAAATAAGGAAGAAATATTTACAACCGCCTTGACCTTTACAAACAACGTTTAAGAAAAAGAGAACTAATAATATATAGGATCATAGTTCTGTTTATTAAAATCATGTCAGAGTGTCAGTATTTTTGCCTCTATGTTAGGCATCTTCTAAAAGTATGTGATTTATGCATTGGAACTCTGCTGAAAGGGATACTTTGCCATTCATGTTAGTTCATTATTGGAGAAAAGGTTATTAAAGTGCCCAAATGTTTAATGATTGAGCATCTGGCTCTAGATAAGCATGCCTTGTTTCTGGAATTCTACCAGCATATTTTTATCTTCACAATTATAAACATTAATAACCTCTTTAATGCAGTGTTAATATTAAATATAACCTCTTCAACATGCTAAGTTCTCTAATGACTACTTCAGAATCTTATGTATGGTCCTAAAGTTGTAAGTAGGGCTTTTCTGAATTCGTATCAAAGATTTGAATTTGTACTAAAACATGTCTTACACTTTTAGAACAGGTATCACTTTATCCATCATCAACAGAGCACCCTTGGGAGCTATTATTTCTTTCCTTAGGATTGTACCAATCCTAAGCTTACCAATTTTGTATTCAATTTATTTTTATTTAAATGACGATGCTGCCCAGAAAACAGCAGTGGGACATCAGCCACTAAGATAAATTGAATTGCTATCTTCCCTGTTTCCCTGAAAATAAGCCCTCCCCGGATAATAAGCCCAATCGGGCTTTTGAGCGCATGCGCTAAAATAAGCCCTCCCCCAAAAATAAGCCCTCCCCAAAAATATTGCAACACAGCAGCAGCCATAAAAAGTGAGCTCATTTGCTATAAAAGTCCCCACAATGCACAAACCACATTTACATATTCCTCCTTTTGCTCACATCTCCATCTGCAATCTAGAGCTCCATCCATGACTTTTCCTTCATTAAATATTATAACTGGGAGGTATGTTTGTTGCCTGGATCATATCTGTCAGACTGCATGCAAGCGTGGAACAAACAATGAAGTTCCATACTTTGGGGAGTTATCTACTTGCCATAATTTATAAAAATGAATCTCAGAATAAAACTTTAGGTAGTGTAACTCGGAACACATACTAGAGTTAATGGTACAGTCCACAACTGACATGATTACAAAAGCTTCTTTCAAGAATTTCTAGTCACAAGCTGGGAAAGCCTTTTCTGACCTCTTAAAGATATGTAGCCATTTAGGCTAGATCCATGATGGCAAACCTATGGCACACATGCCACAGGTGGCACGCAGAGCCATTTGTTAGGGCACACAAGGCGTTGCCCTGTCAACTCCAGAGCATATGCGCGTGCTGGCCAGGTGACTTCAGCCTTCATTTTTGGCCGCCTCCAGAGAAAGAAAAACAACCCAATGCGCAAACCAGAAGTTCAGGAATGGACTTCTGGGTTGCTCATAGGGCTGTTTTTTGCCCTCCGGAGGCTTCAGGGAAGCCTCCTGAAGCCCCCGGAGGGCCCCCGGTGGGGGGTAGGCTATTTTCGCCCTCCCCAGGCTCCTAGAAAGCCTCTGGAGCCTGGGGAGGGTGAAAAAAGGGACCATCGCGCGCCAAAAGCGGAGGGAAGCTGGGGTCAAACATGCATGCGCAGGGGGTCATGCACTTAGAATTATGGGTGTGGGCACACCCGCGCACGACACCCCCGGCTCCCCCTGCTTTTGGCACACAATGGCAAAAAGGTTAGTCATCAGTGGCCCAACCTGATAAAAAATCTTATCCTTATCACATTCTCATCCTTCAAATTCTACTGGAGATGAGCTAGGGCAGAAATGAGAGGATGACATCCAGTATCCCAGAAGGACTGACAGCTGCTTCGGTTTTAATATAAAGAAGTAGAAACTGACACATAGCTATCATAGTTGCCAATCTAGAAAGATTACCAGCTCATAGTATTATCCCAGCAGTGCTCCTCTATATTGGCTGAGGCCTGCTGACCTTATGATGATCTGTCTGCTTTTCCAGTTTCTTCCTGATATTTCCTAGGCAGAGAAAAACTGCATTTAAATCACTATATAGAGTAAAAGCAATTATTGTCCTAACCAAGCCTTGAACATACTAGGTATGTCAAGTTTCTGTCTCATTTGAGTTGTTCGGAAGCTATTCTTTCTGAAAAGAGAACTATTCCTCTTTTACCTGGCTAGCAAAGGACAGTTAATTACTTGGAAATGGTTTACTCTAACTGCTGCACACAGAGTCATCTGCATTATTTAAGCTGCTTCAAACAATTACTGTTTGCAGATAAAGTAAAACCAGCCATATAATCTTCCTGCTTTTTCTCTCCTGAAGTTACAATTCCATCTATAAATGCCCCTTCTCTTTTTGGAGTGTTATTTATAAAAACACAAACAGAGACCACGATGAGCTTCATTACGTTGCTGTTGTGTCATCGTCAACCTTCATGTCCACTTCCTAGTCAGTAGTAGAGGAATAGAAAAAGGAGTTGTTTCTTTATCCTATAGAATGATTGATCCCTCTGTAAGCAGCAGTATAAGAGTGAGGAGCATCAGGGGCTGGGAGAGAGACTCAAGCTGGGTTCCTCCTCCTGATCTCCCAGTTCTTTCACCAGTTTGACCTCATGAGTTTTGAATGGACTTTTAGCTTGGGACTCCGTGGTCTGGAGAGCCTCACTTCCTTTTGGATTTTCTTTTGAATGGCACCTCTGGTGTTTCACCAGCACGCCCCTCTGCCTGAATTTTCTCCCACACTCAAGGCAGCGGTACGGTTTTTCTCCCGTATGGATACGTTGGTGTGTAATGAGATCAGACAGCCTGGTGAATCTTCTGTCACACTCATCACAGGCGTAAGGTTTCTCTCCTGTGTGGATTTTTTGGTGCCGGGTAAGATCCGAAGGGTAGGCAAACTTCCTGCTGCATACCTTACAGCAGAAGGGCTTCTCCCCCGAGTGCGTTCGCTGGTGGGAGACCAGGTTGGAGTGTTGGATGAACCTTTTCCCACACACCCCACAGGCGTGGGGTTTTTCTCCCGTGTGGATCCTTCTGTGTGTCGTGAGGGAAGAGGAGGACACAAACCGTTTCCCACAGTCAGTGCAGGCGTAGGGCTTCTGGCCCATGTGGTTCCGCTCGTGGATCTTCAGGGCCGACTGGTGGCTGAAGCATTTCTGGCAATAGGAACAGTGGTAGGGCTGCTCTCCTGAGTGACTCCTCTGATGGCTGACAAGATATGCTCGTTGGCTGAAGGTATCTCCACACTCGGAACAAATGTGAGGCTTCTCCCCCGAGTGGATTTTCTGATGCCTTGTGAGGTGGGAAAGCTGGCTAAAGCTTTTCCCACACTCGACACAAAGGTAGGGCCTTTCGCCTGTGTGAACGTTCAGGTGTTTTGCCAGATCTGAAGGGCGAGTGAAGCTTTTGCCACATTCGATACAAACATGGCTTTTCTCTCTCCTTTGGGTTCCCCCTGAGACTGGATGGGCTGTCACACTCCCCTTTTCGTTGCACTCCAGATGCTGCTGTTCCACCTTGCTAGCTAGATTGACACCTGTAAGGAGACAAAGATGATCACAATGCAGCCCCACAGATCATGGTTAAGGAGGAGGTACACACCTCATAGGGCTAGAGTTAACCCTAAACCCTTCAAATACTTTGGCCACCTAATGAGAAGGAAGAACACACTGGAGAAGAACCTAATGTTGGGGAAGATTGAGGGCAAAAGAAGAAGGGGACGACAGAGAATGAGGTGGCTGGATGGAGTCACTGAAGCAGTCGGTGTGAGCTTAAATGGACTCCAGAGGAAGGTAGAGGGCAGGAAGGCGGAATGTTGTCCATGGGCTCACGATTGGTCGGATACAGTTTCGCAATTAACAACAACAATCCTAACCATCATAGGTGCTTTTCTAAATAATCTTGTTCTCCAGTTCAAGGTGTTTAAAGTCCAGCATGGCATGGGGCCAGATTATCTACAG